TCATGATACAAATAAAATATCTAGTAACTATATATTTTATTTGTATTATGATGATAATACTATGTTATAGTGTCTTCTGTAACACAATTTACATGTGCTCACATTTTATAAACTATACATTATACTTAATTTTTTTTCACTTGAACTTGTACATAATTTTAGTATGTTACTATACCAAGGTTTTGTTTCGACTAACCCCAGGTGTAATTTATTACATTAATCAAGATAACTATTGAAGAAATTTAGATTAGATTAATTAGATTTAAGGATTGATAAATTTGAAACGAAACAAGATATATAAAGTTTGAAATTAGTCGATAATAATAATGCAAATCTATCTTATGATATGTAGTTCATATTTATATTACCTGTCAAAATTGACGCACCTGCACAATTCTGTTTACTGCATCGGACTGTGAGACAGTAGCTATAACAATGTTATGCAGGACGTATTACATGTTCAATTTAAAGAAAATAATGTAATATCGTTTAAGTACTTATTGAAAAACTACTTACCCCTGTTACAATTAGCTCCTAGCTGCCCTGTGTGCTATACTAATTTACTTATCACTTTTATACATATTTTTAAAACAGTACTTGAATTTACAACTACAAAATTTTAAAACAATGTATTATCGTTTTTTAATTAAACTACTTAATAAAAATTCTTTTTTGAATCCAGACACTTATTACTCTGCAACATTTTTTTTTATATTTCACAAGCCTAGTTGCTAGATACTTCGTCCTAATGTTTAACGTTCTTTATTATTTTTAAAAATATTGCCAGCTGTAACGATTACTTAAGTGCGGCAACAAAATCGACAAAAATATTGCATTTCTTTCATGTTATAACAATACCCGTTATAAATTTTCGAACTTTTTTCAGAAGGTCAGATGTATTTTTTTAGCATTGTAAAAATCCTTTACCTCTCAAGGGTTGTCGCATTGTAACTGCGTTCACCTTCAAAACAACCCTAATATTTTTTCGCAAAAACGTTTCCGTAAATAAAAGGAAGGTCACATTCTTACAAAGTACACAGCAGGCTAAAAAAGTCCGATCGCTGCCCACGCAAAATTCCCATTTCGAAAAAACTACAATAATGTTTTATTGCGTTGTAAAAACGCATTTAGGTTTTTTAAGAATTTGCAAAGGTTGTAAAATTTGCAACGGTTATGCACGGTCAGAAATTTTGTAAATATTACGCGACAACAATACTTTTAGCAAGGATTATATTTTTTACTGATCTGAGAGCTTGAGGCACTTGTTACTTGTATTTCAAAGTTGAAACACATGTTTCAAAGATTTCGGATGGAAAAATAGTAGTTACTTTAAAGACAGTAGTAGTGCATGTTCTGTATATTTTTGTTAGCTTTTCGAATTTTTATATACATATACATATAATATAGAAATTCCATATGGTGGACTGTAGGTAAATGCCAAATTTATAATTATTAGAAAATAACTTCAATTTAATTTTACTATTATTACATCTAGTAATTCCCATTTTAAAATTCAATTTAAATACAAATAATGAATTGATCTTGTTTTTTACAGGTGATCGTTGCGCGGAATTCCTCGTAGTGTTTGTATAAGGTAAGATTTTTTTTAATTATATATATATATATATATATATATATATATATATAGATTATTAAATTAAAAATAATCGCATTTATTAATTTGTATAAATGAGTTTATATATTTTGTTCTGTTTCTTTATCTTATTGCTGACGTGTGTGCTATTTATTTTATTTTATGACATTTAACTGTGCACATAACTTTTAACCTTAATTTCACTTTTAAGTTTAGCAATATTTCAATGAATTTACGGATTATGCGAGACTCGTTTTTTAAGCTTCGTCAATGACTTAGGAATACAAATACCATGTTTCAAAATAATCTAATTATTCAGTAATTTTCACAAATGGAGCTAAAATAATATGATGCGCATTTTTAGAGTTTGATTTACTTTAAATTATCAGCCAAAATTATTTGTCATATTAATTTAACACATACGAAATCAAATTATAGAAAACGAATAAATTATGCGGTTATAAGTATTATGCATAAAATTTAAAATTAGGTATAGCGGGTTGTAAAGTTGTTTGTGCAAAAAATGCCTTAGAAATTTAACAGCAGTTATATTGCATTTTTTTATCTGGTATTAATCAATTGTATACATAAAAGCGAAGTATACATCATTTCATTTACTTTCTAGATAACTGTATACACAAGTAAAAAACTTATGACAATTTTCCTTTTTGTAGGCTTTATTTAATTGTAATGCATTTATTTAATTAAATTATATAATAATGTGTTCCTGGTGGTACCTGATTTTTCTGCCTATGGTATTTTACTCTTACATTGAGCTATAATATGTTATCGTGCAATTAAATTTATACAAATTACATACAATATCACAAATAGTTCGTGATATAAAAAAAGTTTTAAACTTTTCTAAAAAGATCAATATTATTTGTTATAATTAATAAAATCTCTAACGTTCAATACGTTTTAATATAACAAATTCTTGCGTTTTAATAACAAATACAATTTCCTTTGACTTTATGATTTCATACAAACCGCCAAGTCCTCAAAGGTACGTTTTGATGCAATCGAGAGATACACATGCGGACGAACTGTCAAAATAGTGCAATTAATTTCCCGCAAACGGCGACACTTGTGTATGAACTAAATACAATTGATATCATGATACTTATCTATTGTTATGATAATAAAAATAAATGTCTTTGGTCGCATTCATAAATCAATCGTCACAGAGTGCATTTCTTTTCTCTGCAATTTTTGAACCGTACGGACGTACTTCTTGTGCGGCTGTACCATAAGGTTAATAATCTTTCTGCATCGGCGTTATGTAGGTTATTATAATGATGTTTTATGCTAAATTATTATTATTGATGTCCATTTTATTATATTTGCAAAATATTTTTTTATAAATTCTACTTTTGTCAACTTGCATTATTTTAGTACCATGAGGTGTACCATGAGGTTAATAATCTTTTTGCATCTGCGTTGTGTAGGTTATTATAATGATGTTTTATGCTAAATTATTATGATTGATGCCTATTTTATTATATTTCCATAATATTTTTCTGTAAATTCTCTTTTTGTGAACTTGCATTATTTTAGTACCATGAGGTGTACCATAAGGTTAATAATATTTTGATTCTGCCTTATGTGGGTTGATATAATGATGTTTTATGCTAAATTATTATGATTGATGCTCATTTTATTACTTATATGTGGATAATATTTTTCTGTAAATGCTACTTTTGTGAACTTGCAATATTTTAATACACGTTCATGGATTATAATAAAAATTTGATTATGCAAGTCTGGTATTTTCTGTCAATATTTTTATTATCAAATAGTAACTAATTAACAATAAAATTTCATGTTACGTAGTTGGTATAATTACTTTTTATGTTAGCGTATTTTATTTTAAAAGCATTAAAAAAAATTTTTCTTAACGTTGGAGCATTTGAATATACAAGCATAAACACATCGTTGAATTGATTTTATGTTAAATTATTATAATAAAAGTGCATTTTATTATACATATTCATATTTTTTAGAAATTTGGAACATTTGGAAAATAATGTAACAACGAATTCAAAGTCAACGATGAACATAATCTGGTACTATAATACGAATATTGTTAAAATAGCCTAGTAAATTTTTGCAGTTACATGATTTTATCTTAAGCTTAATTTTGAATTTCATCTTACATTATTATATTGAAGCGTATTTTATCATATTTTTAATAATAAATTTTTTGGTAGTATTTAGTACGGCCAGGAACACATTAACGTTGATTCCATTCGTTGTAACATTATTTTTCAAACTTGGGACTACCATAAAATTCTGATTATGAATGAAAACTTAGTATTTTTTGTAATTTCTATTATTAAACACTAATTATATAACAATATAATCCCATGTTTTTAAGCAGATGCTTTGTTTTCTTGTACTGTAGATTAAAATTATTTAAAAAAAATCAAAGTATTCTTTTATCAACATGCTATTTGATTTAACAGTTTCACACATTGTTTACAATTATCATTATTACTAATTTTCTACTATAATTTCTTATAATTTTCTAGCATAATTCTATTCTTTCAAGCCTAATTTGTTTCAACTTTCAAATTATATTAATTTAAAAAATATTCTCAGTTTATATTGTCTTTATATAACCGTTATTCAAATGTAATGCTAAATTTTATGAAAGATAAAATTAAATATGCTTCAATATTTTGAATATAATTAGTTTTGATAAAATTATTTTAGATAATAGGTAATTTTGAGATTCTTCTAATTGTATTTCTGCTTTACATTATTTTTTATTTTAATATTATTATTTCAATATTTTCATTTTTAATATTATTTTTACAGGTGTTGCTCCGATTTTTTGATTTTGTGAAGTCTGTAAAACGTTACCAATATATATATTTGTCGGCGATTTAGTGCGATTTGTAAATATTTCGATTTTTTGGTGATTGTGCTTCGGTTATTGTGCAGTGATAGTGAAGTGGACAAAATGTGACAACAATGATGAATTTCAGAGACTTCAAAGATCCTGATTAGCTTTCTTCTGGAAGTCTTGAGGTAATTATTTTTTTTCAATTGTTTATCTGAATATATTATTTTAATTTATATTTAATAAATTTTATTTTATATAGACAACAAATTGGTAATCGAGATGTTCCAGAAGAATCGGTGCTTGTTCGCGTGCGGTGAGTGCTTTTAACTTCTAAGCATGTCCTTTGATGGTATGTCCAAATCTGAAAATCGACTAGATAGTTAAAATATAATTGTCGTTAGGATTTTTTTAAATTAATATAGGGACAGTTTTAGTTAGGGCGAATAAAATGACATACCATCAAATGTTTAACTAACCCATGTATTTCTTACAGCAGTGTAAATATAAGTGTTCAAGATAAAAGTAAATAAAGTTTAAGTATTTAAAATAAAAGTGAATAAAATGTTCATATAATTTGCGTAAAATATTCTAATCAAAAGTGAATTAAATGTTGCTGAGTAATATCGCGTAAATAAATGTGATATAATGTTTCTGAAGAAGTGCTACGTTTTAATTCCACAGGTAATTAATTTTTAATTCAATGATTTTATGCAAATCTTTTTCAATATTATATATAAAATTCTTACATATCTTATAATTCGTATGAGTCTTATCCTTAATGTCAACTTATTTAGAAGAAAGTATATTCTATATAACGTTTGTACTATTTATTTGCCAAGTGTATATAAACAAATTTTTAATTAAATCAACCACTGTGACTAGTCAGATTCGTTATTTTGCCTGAAGTAACAATCACAACTTTAAAAACTACTTTGTTATTCTCCCCATAAGTAATTGTTGTTATACATCGAATACTTTTCATGTCGAGCGAATGTGTTTGTTCCTACTTGTGCCATATAAGTTGTCCGTGAAAAATATTTTCGGAGGACCAAAATAGTTTTTGTCAACATCGGACAGACAAAACACATTGATTTATCAGAGACTAAGCGACGGCAGCGTGTATAAATGAATTCGTGAAATATTTTGTGATATCAACGTATTAAATTCCATTCCAGCGAAACATTATTCATACGAAAAACTTCGTTTTATGGTTAAAGAAGGCGTGCGTCGTAAATACTACAGCAGTAGTAGACAGTGACGTCTCGTCCAAGGGCGAAAATTTAAATAGCAATATCTAAAACAATTTTTTACCTAATTTATTGAACAAGTTGAATAAAATTTTGATTAAAGAAACTATATTAATCCAATTCGTGTGAGGTAATTAAGATGAATTTATAAATATATAAAATGCAATATTATACCTCGAGTCAAATTGCTGGACATTCCATTTCGCCAATTAAATATTTAAATGCATATATTATTAACCAACTGATATTTGATATTCGTAACTTGTGAAATTAACTTTCAGAAAATAATATCGCGTTTTTAACACATAATTATTCAAACTGTAGATAAGATTTTGAGATTTTGCACTTAAAAACCTGGGTGTGACTGATTTAGTGTATTTTTTTTAATTCACCTGGTTATCGTGTTGTCTAATAAGATGCGAATTATATTTTCAATAAGTAAATAATGTGTATATGTATAATACAAAACATTTATGCTATGCAATTTTATAACTATAATTATATATAGTTAATTGAAAAATAGACTATAACTAAAATAGTGCAAAAAAAATTCGTCAACTTTGCTAAAACAGTAACATATCGTAAGATGTATCAGTAGAAATTATCTTAGATTAGCTTCTACAAATATTTTTATCTGATAGCTGTTAAATAATAAAACTATTACAAAAATGAAACTTTGCTGAAACTTGTACATTTGGAACATCCAACATCTAACAACTACAGATGAGACATTTGATCTTATGATTGCCATAATGAGAATAATTGACTTGACATAAGGAGAATAATTGAATTCTCATTATTGGGATTTGATTCCTGTTTTATTAGGTGCAATATTTCCTTGCTTTGATATTTTTATATTTTATTTACAATTACATTTGAATTATAATTTAACTAAACGAGTTCTACGAAAATATTTACGAATTTATACCCATACGATATAAAGGCAATACCAATACGAAACAAAGAAAATCTTTATAATAATTAATAAATTTACAGTTATGGTATATCAAAATCACTTAATTTTTTCGTTCTAAGAAATATATAGTGAAAATTGAAGATGTTGGAACTCGAATTGGAAGATAATTTCAAAAAAGCATTCGGCTAAGTTGTTGTAATCAAAAACATATGATGTGATAGTGTTATGCAGCAAACTGTTAAAATTAAAAAATGGAACGTAGCATAGCCTTGCCATAACATTGGTCTATTTTACGGTAGAATCGGCCCATAAGGTTCGTTCAAATGTTCACATGCATAATTCTGTCACTTAATCCAGTATTCAGATTTTTGAAACCTAATAGTAAATTTCCAATTTATTTTCAACCCTTCCTTGAGCTGCCACTGTGATAGACACTGCGCAGTCTTCAGTCGTTACCCATTCTACTCAACTACTATATTTCGTTCTGCTGTATATTTATTTTTGGGACTCGTTTGATATCTATATAAGCTATGATTTACAAACAGCCTTGATAAATGGTATATTCGACTTTTGGAATTTTCGTTTCTTTTAATCGAGTCCCCTACTCCCACGAAGACAGCAATTTATGCGGATTATGAATAATGATTTCATTTAGAATTTGCATATTCATTAACAATAAGCTGTTTAGCTGTTATATTGGACGTACGAGATTGAGATAAATCAATTTTGAAGGAACAGAATATTTAGAAATACCAGAACACTGTTCAGATTTTTCAAATATTAATATTTTTGTATGAAAATATTTCTCTTAAATTTCTCTTGATAAAATTGCGTAAAATCTTATGCAGTTCGTCGAATATTTTTTAACTTCTCGTAGGGTCAGTTATACTAATCGTAAAAAATCGAAGGGATTTTTTTTTATATATCTTTGCATTTCAAAGGTTTTTGAACATTTTAGCATACCATTAAAAAATGGATGTATGTGTGTGTGCGCGGATACAAATTTTCGTCAACGATTTCGCGAACACAGATCAACTGATTTGAATAATTTAAAAAACATTTGATTCATATTGACAGAAATAAGTGCTGATTAATTTTTTGGCAAAGGCAGGTTTAGCCGTTTCGATGATACGGGGCAAAAAGTGCAAAAATGGTAATTCAGTTTTTGAGAGAACGGAGCGTACAATTTGAATTACTCAAAAAACACTTTATTTGTGTTGAGCAAGTGACGAATTAATTAAATTTTTGAACGTTTCAAAAATCAACATTAAAAAAAAAAAAA